TGCGGTGGAAAAATGAACAAAGAAGATTACTGAATGGTGACCGTGCAATGTTTTAAAAAAAAATATGTTGAAAAATCAGTGAAGAAACCGACAAGGCGCAAGGAAGATCCAACTGAGCACAAAGAAGATATGTGGATGAGAGAGGTCCAAAACAGAGAACAGTGAAAAAAGTTACCAGATGTATCAATGATAAAAGAAAATTGCGAAGATGAGAGCAACAGCTGATCGCGAAGTATTAAAGTGTGTGTTCAAAGGGAGATAAGTTATGGAAGACAAATTAATTTTCTTTGGCCAATTATTCACTGGAAATAATACAGCATCATTATTAGGCATAATAATAATGACGATAATAATAATAATGATAATAACAACAATAACAAATAGCAATAATAATCACTATTATTTCTATTACCACTATAATTACAATAATTACTATAACTATAAAAAGCCATTTTCTAAATGAATTTATTGGAACACTTTTTTTTCGGCGCCAAATTGACTGCACAGTGACCGAATAGGAACGAAAGGCAAATCATAAAATTTGGCAGCAAAATGGTCACTGCAAAGAGCGACATTTTACGAAAAGGTATGACGGGAAAAGGGCAGGCGAGGATGATGCGAGCGAGCGAAGAAGATCCGACACTCATTCACGCCGAGGCACACCACAAGGTGATATAGGCAGCAGCAACAGCATCAGCAGCAAGCAGCCTATTGACACAAGCAACGTGTATTCTTCTTCTGGCTGGATGCAGTACGCCGAGCCTTCGCCCGACAAGCAGCATTTGAATAATAATCGATGGACGGAGAGTGTGGAGCCCACCCTCGCTCGCACCACGGCAAACTTCCCCACACAGGCACCTGCACCCCTCCCCGCAAAGGAACACGGAAATCAGGCCCCCCGCACGCTGGTCGCAGGTAATTTACGCAAATCGCATGCGAGCACTCCAGCACCAGATGTATGGCACTGCTCCTCACGGCGGAGAGGGGGGCGAGTGCTGGCTGAAATGAAAAGCGGTGGCACAAACCTCATAAGCTGCGCGAGATCCAGGCACATAGCCGGGCTGGTGGCGCACGAGGAGGACGAGGAAGAGCTGAGGAGCAATTTGTCGATGAGCTCGTACGAGCTGCTCTCCGCTGAGCCGGGCGATGTGGTGCCCTGGTGCGTGGACGATGACGAGTAGTAGCCGGAAGATGAGGAAGACGACGTTGACGAGCCACTCCACCGATGTGCGCCGGTCCTCTGGGCACCGCTATCTGGCGTTGTTGGTGGCGTAATCAGTGCCTCGAGGCACGCTGTTGTGTTGCTGGCCTGCGAACGCGCTCGACAAGTTACCGAGCAGTAGTTCGAGAGCATGGCCAGGCTGCAATCCAGTGCTTCCACGGAACCTTTTCGCGCATAGTCAGCCATGTAATATGCAGTGGGTGATGGAGGTGAGGCACGAAGAAGTACCATTCTCTCCGGAGCTGATTCGCGCCGATTGAAATGCGATTAAAATTCGGTGGAGGCGATGCGTAGCAGGCAGTAGCAATTGACGAGGCTACTCGATCAGATGCCCAGAGTAATAGCAGATTTTTTGCTAATATCGAAATGCCACTGATATTCTATGGACACTTTACTGCAGTCACGCGAAGTAAGTGTGTCGCCCTGCTTGTGCGCAGCACCGCATATGTGCGGCTAATTCAGCCAGAATATCCGATAAGATGAGAGCTGCTGCAAAAAACAGTTACCCGCGCTGACGCAAAAAATTCACTTATTTTTTAGCAACAAAAGCGACTGGATCATCCAATGATCCTCGCAGGCATCGCGCTCGCTGAGGATTCTCGTCCTGCAGCGACGGGCGACACGATGTGAGCCGAAACAAACGATTAACGCTTTTTCAATCACAGTAATATTACATCACCAAAATGAAAGCAAATACTTCGAGTAAAGAACTTGCGCAGTCCTGGAATTCTGCCTAGCTGTTAATGAAACTGTAACTGAAAAAGCTCTCCACTCCGTACTTCATTCTCTCTCAGAAGACTGTTCCCACATGAAAGAAGCATTATACCAAAAGCAGATGTTACTCAGTGACAGGGCTGTCCCTTCTCTGGAGCCATCGATGGTTAGATTGTAGGCCCTGCAAGAAATGCCGGTAGCCAGACCACTGCTTTCCCAGGCTTAAAAGGGTCTGCTTTCCGAAAGAAACGAGTCGAACGAACGATCCCACAGAATCGGGCAAAAGCACCAAATACATTTGATGGTGCAGTTACGCCACGTACAAAAAAAAGAGACAAAGGAGCAGCACGAAATCAAAGACACTGAGCTAAGCGATAATCTGACTCAGTCAGTCAGCGAACTCAAAACAGTGGAACTCCAAATGAGAGAGGGACTCCGACCCCACTGAGGTAAACAGGCAACCATCTGCGCAGAGGGCACCGCCACGCCAACCTCTTTCCGTTCTTAAAGTGCCCGAGAACGATTTCTGACCAGAGATTATCCAATTACTATTGGCAGCAAAGCAGTTCGGCCACGCAAGACTTGTGTTTACATGTAAGTGACGCCGAAAGCTACGAGCTAACTGTCCGTTTGAGTGACAACTCTTCGACTGACAAACAACAAATTGACACAAACAAGCAAACACACAAATCCCCGAATTCGGGCATAAACACAAATTGACATAAACACAACACAAATACAGACATCCACACAAACACACACATACCCACACAAACACACACATACCCACACAAACACACACATACCCATGCAAACACACACATACCCACACAAACACACAC